CGAATTTTGGGATTTGGGACACGAATTTTGGGATTTGGGACCCGAATTTTGGGATTTGGGACACGAATTTTGGGATTTGGGACCCGAATTTTGGGGATTTGGGACACGACTTTTGGGGTTTTGGGACCCGAATTTTGGGATTTGGGACACGAAGTTTGGGATTCGGGACCCGAATTTTGGGGATTTGGGACACGAAGTTTGGGGATTTGTGACCCGAATTTTGGGGTTTTGGGACCCGAATTTTGGGGTTTTGGGACCCGAATTTTGGGGATTTGGGACCCGAAGTTTGGGGATTTGGGACTCGAATTTTGGAGATTTGGGACCTGAATTTTGGGGGTTTTGGGACGTGATTTTTGTGAATTTGGAACCCAAATGTTGGTATTTTCGGGACCTGAATTTTGTGAATTTTTGACCCAAATTTTTTGGGGTTTTGGGACCTAAATTTTGGGGATTTGGGACCTGAATTTTGGGATTTTTGGGACCTGAATTTTGGGATTTTTGGGATTTTCTGGGGCTGGGGGCATTTGTAGGGCAGTGGAAAGCGGGGGGTGGCACCTCCCTCACCCCTGGAGGATTTTGGGTGCAATTCCCAAAAAAAAGGCCCAGTCCCATCCCAGCCGCCCAGCTGTGCTCCAGGGATGTCCCGGGATTTGGGATCGGGATCCCGGGGAAATCCCGGCCTGGGCGGGGCTGGGGACCTTTCCCAGAGGAATTCTGTCCCAAATCTCATCCCAATTCTAGAATTCTGTCCCAAATCTCATCCCAAATCCAAAATCCTGTCCCAAATCTCATCCCAACCCCGGAATTCTGTCCCAAATCTCATCCCAATTCTGGAATTCTGTCCCAAATCTCATCCCAATTCTGGAATTCTGTCCCAAATCTCATCCCAAATCCAAAATCCTGTCCCAAATCCCATCCCAAACCTGGAATTCTGTCCCAAATCCCAGCCCAAACCCGGAATCCCCTCCCAAATCTCATCCCAATTCTGGAATCCCATCCCAAACCTGGAATCCCGTCCCAAATCTCATCCCAAACCCGGAATTCTGTCCCAAATCCCATCCCAAATCCTGAATCCTGTCCCAAATCTCATCCCAAACCTGGAATCTTGTCCCAAATCCCATCCCAAATCCCGAATCCC